TCTGTTAAGTGAATTTGTAAGAAGAATGATAAAACGCTGCAAGACTGATTTAAACTAGATATAGAGAACCTCATAAATGTTTGAAATAAAAGGTAATTTTGCTCAAATTTTAGAGTTTTCTGGAAGTGATAAAATTTTGGTCAGTACGTTAAAATTATGTTTACCGCAAAGTGAATAACAAGTTGCAAATTTCCTAAACAACTGACTTCTCAATACTGCATAGACTCAATATTAGGTTTTTTAGTTAAAAGAGAAAGATGTATTTATCTACATATAGATGGTGGAAACGTTTTATGTTTAAGATTTAGGCTTAACTTGTTATTCCCAGTAAGTCATTCACTTTAGACTTGAATCCCCACCCTGCCCACCCCCCACCCGAAAAAAAAAAAAAAACTGTATTCGATTGAATTTAGACATTAGGTACCTACCACATTCTGATTATATTTCAGATGTGTTGATGAACCTACATATCAAATATAGCTTTCAAGGAGAAAAGTCTGAAAGATAATGTTCATGTTGTTTTATTTCCCATTATAAACATAAGAATCTTAATTCTAAGAGATAGAGTCTGCATAGACCAGGAATATTTATAATAATGATGCCAGTTAGGTTGCCTACACCTAGCTTTGAGCTTGTAAAACCAGGGCCAGCTTTTCTTGAGTCCCCTGCTTGGTGGAGCAGCTCCCCTTCTGCGAGCGGCAGTTTGGTGCCTACCTGTCTGAGTGAAAGAAGCAGACTGCGAGGAAATACCAGCAATCAGCAATGCTTCGTGAACATTTTAAAGTGTCAGCATGCCTTGAAACTGTATTTTTAATAAACTGGTTGTAGTTTCCACAGAAGATGAATGATGCCAGATAGGCTAACTAAACCTAGAACTTCATTTGAAGTTCATTGAAGAACTTCATTCTCTCAGGCAGGTAGGCATCTGCCCCACTGCCCGCAGAAGGGGAGCTGCAGCACCAAGCAGGGGACTCAAGAAAAGCTGGCTCTGGTTTTACAAGCTCAAAGCTCAGAGAAAAGGCACAAACAGTAGACTTGGGAGAATGTCTATTAAGGAAAAGCATATCTGCTGTATGCTCCTCCTTTACTACAACTAGAAAAAATTCTTCCTAGTCCTTGGGGATAGGAGAGAACCAGAAAGATGGCCATGAGATGCTAGAGGATCTCCAGGGAGGAACATAGACTCTACCATTTCCCCCCTTGTCCTACTCATCCACAGCAGAGAAGGTCACATGGTCTTTTCCAGAGGGCTCTGAGGAGGCGGCAAAACCCCGCAGTAATAATGCTACAAGCACATGTAAGTAGATGGGGCCCTAGGCAAAGTCAGTGTGGCCATGGCCCTGGGTTGAGCATGATCAATGGAAAAATTCCCAAAGGGCCCTGGAGATAGCTGCAGAGGCTGTTTGATGGGGTAGCATGCTAAGGAATGGCCCTGGAATCATAGAAGAATTGAGATGGGGAACCTTGTGTTCAGCCTGGGGCGTGAGGCCAGCAGTAACCTTGGATGGCCCTCCAGTGACCAGAAAGGATGACAAAACAGGACAGCCAGATGGGTGGAAAACCAGTTATTTCCCCCTAGCCTAGTGAAGAGCACAATACAGTCTCCTGAGCATGTAGACATAGATTTGGAGAAAAAGAGGTAGAGGTGGAGACATAAACTTGAGTTGTCTGAGATTAAATTTCTACTGCCTGATGGCGCAGAGGCTCCAAACAGAATTACATTCATTTAAAAAAATAGAAGTCTTAGAGCACTTGCATTTGCGATTTGAGATTCCCATGTACCTACTTAAGAATACATTTTAAATAACATGATATCAGTCCACAGTCCTTCCTCATGAGGGAGCATAGAATAGCTTTTATTGGGGCTAAAGATGCCGTGTTGGTTGAGTCTGGACCCTGTTCAAAGTGTCCTGGGCTGTTCCCATCAAACATGAGATGGTATGAGATGGCCATCTCCAGCTTTGAGCCTGTGTGATGAAATCTTAGTAAACATATCCCAATATATGCACTCAAAGTCCATCATTTATGGACTGAACCTTTACCAATTGATTTCAATGGAAGGCTTTGCTTTCATCCAAAATCCTCTGCAAACTCCTGGCACTGGCTGTATTTCCTCATTGCATTTCTCTCTGATCTCAGGGCTCTGTGTCTGCCAGCAGCTTCATTCAGTCTCTTTGTGAGAAGCGGTGCTCACTTGCTCTGACAGCTGTGTTCTCTCTGTAGGATCATCAGTCTGCTGCAGGCTGTGGTGATAGGATGGATTTTTAAACTCTTTTGGCAGAAGAAGTCATTTCCTGCTTGGAGAGAAAGATAAAAGTGAACCCCACATTGTGCAGAAACATGGACACCATGACACTTCCTGCACAGCACTTTAGCCACCCCCAACCCCCACAGTGACTCAGAACCTAACTGCCTCAGCCCTTCTTGACCTGGACCGTGTGAGCTACATCCTCCTCTAAGTCGATGTCACATCCACTCACATCTGGACTTAAAGACTAGGTCCAGATACTTGGATACTCAGCTTCATAGCCTTAAAAGTTCAGATTAGTTACTGCATTTCCCACCGTTATCTGTGGAGATTTTAATACAGGATATCATCAGTAATTGAAATGTGTGCACCATACATTTAAAAAAAAAAAAAAAAAAAAACCTGCCCTAAAATCACAAGTGAAAATCATTCCCTCCAGCTGTATTATAGAAAAAGGTGGTAAGTTACAGTCACTGATTATTGGAATGCAAAGATCATGCAGGTCTTGATTCCTTTCTGTGGCTTGATTTTAAGTCATGACAAGTTATAGAGACATTTCAGAATTTGTTACTTGTCTCCACAGGTAGAAAAGAGCCATGGGAGATCTTTGGCGTATTTTGAATAATCCAAGGAAACAGCTTGTAGCTGTGGAAAGAGTCTTAGGGAGAAATAAGGCTACCTAAGCCTCCTATAGTCATTCATGTAGACCTTTCCTTCTTTCCTGTACGCCCACTGTCCATGGGCGTTTGCGAGTTATTACTAGATATTTTCACTTTTTTTGGTGACTTTATTCCATTCCTCTCTCTCCCCATTGCTCCAAGTTGCCACAATGCCTGGTATATTGGAAGAGTTCAGTAGGCGCTTAGAAATACAATTGAATTGGAGAGGGAGCTCTTGGTAGAGCCTGTGTCTTCCTAGACATGAGTGATGCAACCTTGACCAGTGGATGTGATGCATCTCTCTGATAGTGAGAACATTGCCTGCTCTTGAACAGCAGACCCTCCACCTGTCAGGTAGCTCACCAGGCTCTGACCCTCATTCTTTAGTGGGGCCCCGTGACAATTTAGGAGGGCCAGGAAGACAGATTCATGCTCCATATAGAAGATCATGGAAGAGCACAAACAGCTGGTTTCCACTGAAGGCAGTTCCTCCATTTAGAATCAGTTCATTTCTGAAGCTCCCAGCTTTGGCCAGACTCTAAGATGGGCTGGAAGGATGTCAGCGAAGTCAGAGGCAGAAGAAGCCAGGAAGGCAGGTGCTAGAACCATAAACCTAAAGGAAATGTAGCCACATAGAGGAATTAACTCCTACCAAGCATGTCTCAAAGCACTTGAGGTTAAACAAAATCTTTGCTAGTCCTCCACTGTAGCTTTGGCTCACTTCAGAGCTTTTGTCTTGTGGTGTGTGAACCAGGCATAGCTGGACCCGAAGCATAGGAAAGATATTGGGTGCAGCTATGGTTATTCTCCTTCTCCCATGGGGGGTTTGGCCTCTACTAAAGTGGAACCATTTGTTCTTTGCTTAAGTTCTGTTAAAAAGTCCCAAGTTATTAACCTACTGTGGTCAGCCCACCCGGGGCACCCAGGATGGTCATGGCCATCCCTGCTATGACCTCATGGATGTTATCTGTGTTTGTAGTTTCTACATGTTGTTTATAATGAGTTTGGCTTTTTAAACATTAATTTTAATTTTTAAGAAAGATTGCATCAAAATGTTGTTTCTGTTGATTACAGGGTTTTTTGGCACTCTCATATTTTGTACCTATATTAGCTTCTAAGGGCTACCATGACAAGTTATCACAAACAACTAGGTGGGTTAAAATATTAGAAATTTATTCTCTCATGGTTCTGGGGGGCCGGACATTTGAATTTGTGGTGTTGGCAGGGCCACACTCCCTCTGAAGCCTCCAGGAGAGGATTTTTCCTTGCTTCCTGCAGTTTTTGGTGGCTCTTGGTGTTCATTGGCTTGTGGTGGCATCAGGCCAATCTCTGCCTTCATTTTAATCAAATGGCCATCCTCCCTGCATCTCTGTGTGTCAGCCTGCCCTCTGCCTTCCTCTAGTAGGACACCTGACATTGGATTTAGGGCCCAGTCTTAATCCAGGATGATGTCATCTGGAGATGCTTAATTCCATTTGCAAAGACTTTGACCAAATAAGGTTACATTCTCAGGTTCCAGGGGTTAGGACTTGGATGGGCTTCTTGGGGACCACTATCCAACCCACTACAGCACAAAGACCAGCAACCTCACTCTCCTCACTTTAGTCTTAGCCGTGCCCCAGGGATGTGTGTCCCTTGTGGATTCTGTCTCATGACTAGAGAGCCACAGCTGGTCCTTGTAGGTAGTGTGGAATGAGTGGGTGGGACAATAGAAAACAGTGAACAACACACACAAAAACAATAGGGACTTTCTGTAGCCCTTTCCACCCCTACAGAGAGAGTATGGCAAGGAGGGAAGGGTGATGGTTTTCTACACTGAAGTTTCCCTTCAAGGTTTTCAAAGTAAGTTGTGCAAAAGTTACCAAAGTTCTGTCATTACATAACACACCTTTGGGTTTTGTTTGACATAATTTTATCTGTCCCTTGACTTGTTTTCTTTCAATATCTGCCTTCTTTATATACACACACACACACACACACACACACACACACACACACAACTATTGATTTTTTTAAACCACAGCTGCATGGCTATTATAAACTGAAATTCTTAAAGCATGATCTTCTTCCTATGATCGTGGGAAAGAGCAAACTACTTTAAAAACACACACATGCACAGCTTCTTGAAGCCATATGGAGATTTTATTCATGCAAATAGAGGCTTGGTTTTCTCCTAGTTTCCCACAAGGCACTCGGCAGCATTGGGAAGATCTTCGCCCCTCAATGGGACCTATCAGGATGGACTGCTGCTCGCCTTGGCTTTGAGGTATGTTCTCCCTGATTTCTAGCACAATGGCAGCAAGGTGCTATACAATGTGAATAAGGACTACAATCAGTTCTGTTGAGAACCTGCATTTTTTAACTTAAAATAAAACATCAGATGAATCTGGATGTAAATTCCCACAATATTAGACAAACTGTGTTATCTCAAAAAAAGAGATACAATTTCAGAATGAAGTCGTATATAAATACAGAAATACTATTTCGAATAAATCTGTAGGTGAATTTCCATGACATTAAACAAGTTATGTTATGTCAAAAAAAGTGTACAGATTCATGTGTTTGGGTAAACCTCTCATATTTAGTATGTTTAAAAATTGGCATCATGTGAGAAAATTGTTTGCAGATTGCTAGACAGAGTGAATAATCTGACACCATATGGAGACTATTTATGAACCACGGCAACTTCCACACTGTTGATCATGTGTAATATAAACAATGTAACCAAAGTGAATTATTACTTTTCCATTATTTTCTTTTTCTATTACATTTAATGTTTAATTTGAGAGAAACCGTTTTTGATATATTCTCTTATACACATCTTACTATTCATTAGCTAAGGAGAAATTGTGTTTGCCATTTTTTTACTTTAACACAAAACATGCTTTCCTCTTCCTAAGTATCGACTGATATTTCATAGAGAAGAGGATTAACTATCAGAACATTAAATGAATATGACTTTAACTCATGTAATGTAAGTCTTAGAGAATTCATTCTGAGGGAAGAAGATGTCCAATAGAGACTGTGTAGGAGTGGGTTCAGAGATGGACAAGAGTCAGAGAATATGAGGATCCTGTTTTGGCATGCAGATGCTTCTACCAGGCCACACACTCACAAGTTGTCTGAATCGGGAGAGAAGGTATCGATGAAAACTGAAAGAGCCTTTAGGGTACAACATAGCAAGTGCTAGGTTTTGAGCCTCTTAAATAGGTTTTGAATCTATCCTCTCTTCTTCAGTTTCAATGCCACATTAAAGCCTGAACTTAATTGTTTGAATAGCATATTAGCTGCTCCCTGCTCTGTGTGAACCCCCTCAAACTCAGCTTTCACACACCACCAGAATTATCTTTCCAAAAGGCAAATCTGATCGTGCCATGCCACTGATCAACATTTTCAATAGCTCCCTACAGAATAAAATCCTAAATCCATAGCATGATCCACAGGGTCATTTATGCACTAACTCAGCCTACATTTCCAGTCTGTGTCCTACTCCTGTGGACAAATCGAATCATCAACAATTTGGCAGTAAAGAGTAGAGACATAATAGTTTGGAAGTGGCGATGAGAAGTGAGAAGAAACAGCCTTCTTCCCAACCCGGAGGCACCTGGAGTGCGGAGAATGAGCAACATTTACATAAATGCTTCAGGAGAGTTGCGGGGGAGAGGAGAGGGCAGTCCAGTAGGACCAGGACCTCAACCAAATCTGGAGGGGTTTTTTTTCTCAGCATTTTGTTTTCAGAGAAGGGGTTACTCTAAGTAATTCAATCTACCATTATTAAAAATATAATTCTATCTTTCTTTTTTCCTTTTTAATTTAACTCTTATTTGAAGTTCAGGGGTACATGTGCAGGTTTGTTATTTAGGTAAACTTGTGTCATGGTGGTTTGCTGTACAGATTATTTCATCCCCCATGTATTAAGCCTAGTACCCATTAGTTATTTTTCCTAATCCTCTCCCTCCTCCTACCCCCCACCCTCCAATAGGCCCCACAGTCTGTTGTTCCCCTCTTTGCGTCCATGTACTCTCATTATTTAACTCCCCCTTATAAGTGAGAACATGCTGTGTTTGATTTTCTGCTCCTGCATAAGTTTGTTAAGGATAATGGCATCCAGCTCTATCCATGTTCCTTCAAAGGACATGATCTTGTTTTGTTTGTTTGTTTGTTTGTTTTATGGCTGCATCGTATTCCATGGCAGATAAGTACACATTTTCTTTATCTAGTCTATCATTGATGGGCATTTGGGCTGATTCCATGTCTTTACTATTGTGAATAGTACTGCAATGAACCTACATATGCATGTGTCTTTATAAGAAAATGATTTATATTCCTTTGGGTATATACCCATTAATGGAATTGCTGGGTCAAATGATATCTCTGTTTTTAGGTCTTTGAGGAATCATCACACTGTCTTCCACATGGATGAGCTAATTTACACTCCCACCAACAGTGTATAGGTGTTCGTTTTTCTCCACAGCCTCACCAGCATCTATTATGTTTTGACTTTTTAGTAATAACCATTCTGATTGGTTTGAGATGGTATCTCATTGTGGTTTTGCAAATCTGGAGTTTTTAATAACACATACTTAACCCTTCAGAGATTTATCTCAAACTTTATTGCCATGCAAACTTTTTTTTTTTTTTTTTTTTTGCTTTTTTAACAGATATATTTGAAAAATATAGCAGATGTTAAACTCCTCTCCCCATGGAGGAAAAATTTACAGGAGCTGATTGATTAAGCTCCCGTGAATTGCAGAGACTGGTATAAGACTTAAGAACTCAAAGATGAGTTCAGACATAGCCCCTACACTTAAGGAGTTCACGGGACCTTTACAAGCTTTGGAATTTTCAATGAGAAATTCACTTACTGCCAGAAATCATAGCTCAATATCTCCTGTCAGTTTCATATAACCAAAATCCTGGACAAGATGAGAGAGAGGTTGGATATGATGAAAAGAAACATGTTCTGAGAGAAAGTATAATGAATGAGGTTTGGAAAGCAGAGGGCAGGCAAGGCTGGGTTTCCGGAATATGGATGAATGACAGAATGGAGCAGGCAATTAGTGGAGATCTCAGTATGCAGGCACAGGCAGGCAGCATGCACTGTCACTTTTACTTCTCTGAATCCTTCTCCACATCAATTTCCACTTTAGAGTAAGAGACAGTTTTTAGCATTTAATTGGCCCTACATCTCTGAAACCCTTACAATAAAACTATTAGTCCATTGAACAGTTATAAGAAAATATCATAGACTAAATAACTTACAAAAAAACAGAAATGTATTTCTCATAGTTCTAGTGGCTTTAAAATCTGGATGCCACCATGGTTAGGTTCTGGCAGGGGGTCTCTTGCAGGTTGCAGGATGCCAACTTCTCCCTGTGTTCTCACATGGTAGAAAGAGCAAGGGAGGTCTCTGGGGTCATTTATTTAAGGTCATTAATCCCATTCATGAGGGCTTTGCCATCATGATCTAATCACCTTCTAAAAATGCCACCTCCTAATGCCATCATCTTGGAAGTTTAGATTCCAACATACGAATGTTGGGGGAACACAAGCATTCAAACCATAGCTTGATGCTCACTGTATCTGCCCTGAGTCTGCATGAGATAAAAGACTACTTAAAAACTATCACTGGGGGCTTCTGGTTCTCTATGCATGTTCTTAAGCAGATATTTTTCGATATGTAGTGCAATAAGCAGCAGCCAGATGTGATAGTCAGTTGTCAATGAATGCCCTGTAACAATCCACCCCCGCAAACTCAACGGCTTATAACAGAGCATTTACTTTTGTCAACTACAGGTCTGAGGACTGGCTGAAGTGACCTTGGTTTGAGTTGAAGTTGAGCTGTGTTTGGCCTTAGCTTAGGCTTGCATCTGTCCCAATTGTCTTATCCTGAGAACCAGGCTAAAAAATCAGTAGCTAGCAGGGACAAGCTCTTCTTTTATATATTTATTATTTATTTATTTATTATTATTATTTTTTTTTGAGATGGAGTCTCACTCTATCGCTCAGGCTGGAGTGCAGTGGTGCAATCTTGGCTCACCACAAGCTCTGCCTCCTGGGTTCATGCCATTCTCCTGCCTCAGCGTCCCGAGTAGCTGGGACTACAGGCGCCCACCACCACGCATAGCTAATTTTTGTATTTTTAGTAGAGGCGGGGTTTCACCGTGTTAGCCAGGATGGTCTTGATCTCCTGACCTCGTGATCTGCCCACCTCAGCCTCCTAAAGTGCTGGAATTACAGGTGTGAGCCACCGCGCCCAGCCCTGGGACAAGCTCTTCTCATAGTAATCTTGGGGGTGCAGATGTGAGTTATACTGCACAATTTATTTAATACGTATCTTAGTCTATTTCCTGTTGCTATAACAAAATACAACAGACTGGGTAATTTTTAAAGGAAAGGTCATTTATTTTGGTTCATAGTCCTGGAGGCTGGGAAGTCCAAGAGCATGACATCTGCATCTACTTGGACTCTGGTGAGGGCCTTCTTACTGCTTCATAATGTGGCAGAAGGCATCACATGGTGAGAGGGAACAAGCGTGTATATCAGCTCAGCTCTCCCTTCTCCTTCTTCTTATAAAGCTAGTCCCATCATGGAGATCCCATCCTTGTGACTAATTCTAATTACCTAATTATCTAATTGTAATTACCTCCTACAGGCCCCACCTCCAGTCAACATATGATTTTAGAGATTAAGTTTCCAACACATAAAATTTGAGGACACATTCAAACTATAGAAATATCTCTGTTTACCTCTCATTTGCTCAGTTTCCATTGGCCAAAGCAAGACATGTGGCCAAGTCCAAAGTCAGTGGGGACGGGAAATATGCTTCATCCCAGTGGGAGTTAGTGAAGAGATACGGAACAATGCCATTCTGTCATACCAAGTGTGACTGCAACCTTTGCAATTACTACGGCTGCCGTAGTGCCTAAATGCCACAGCCACTTGATCTCCCAATGTCCCACCCCACATGTATATTTCACCCTGTGCTACCACAGGTAATAATTTGAATTATTACCATGGAATTGCATGCCATGGATTACTGGTGTCCTATTTCCCCGAAGAACAAGGTTATTCGAGTCCTCACCCAGTATTATGAGCAACTCAATCTCAGAAACACATTTTGAGGACTGTTTTCTGAAGCTACTCCTGACACCAACTTCAGTCAAACACAGAAAATAATGCTTTACATGGTATCTATTTATAATATTTTATGAATGACCAAATAGAATATCCATATTTTATATATCCTAGCTAAAGGAGATAATT